ATAAAATTCGTATTAATATACAAATGCCTATATACATATATATAGAAAGAAATGATTTACAACCGCATGTACAAATATATTTTATTATTATTTTATTTTTGTTTTAATTAAAAAATTTATCTGTGTGTATCATTTTTCATATTTTATAAAATTAGTTTCTTTTTAATATCTAATGAACTTGAACTCATAATTTTATCAAAAGTTGTGTTATTACAAAAAATATTGCTTAAAGTACGTGTACCTAAACATTTATTGTATTAAATTACTATATACCAACAAGATGTCATAATTTACATGAAAATATAGAAATATACACAAAATTTTTCAAAATTCAAATAAGAATTTTAATATAGAAATTAATTCAATTGATATACTCAATTCTACTATAAAATTCGGGCAATTCTACTATAAAATTTTAAAAATAAAATTTCATTATTTCTCTAAAATTAAAAATTCATTAAATTTATAATCAGCAAGTGTTGATAAATCAAAGCCTATTTCATTATAAACAAAAATTGTGCCATGATGACAATAGCATTCTACTTAAATGTTTTAAAGCAAAATCAAATGTTTCGGCTTTTCAAAATTTCGCGCAATTTGTGCGAATCTTTGATTGCATATACGAGTATTACTGCAGATTTATTGGAAAAGTTTACTACAATTTTCATTGCAAACAAAATTTTTATTGTATTTGACATAGTATCCGCAATTGATATACCAAAATTAACGAAAGCAATTTACTTTCTATACCGTGCACGTATTATATAATTTGTTTATAATATTAAATAATTTCTACTATTATTAAAGAATTTCTATTTCCTAAAATTAAGAAGGAAATGAATCGAAAAATTTAACTTGAAAAAAGAAAGAACAACATTAAATTGCAAGTCGTGTTATTTTGTTTACCCTTAGGATAAGAAAGTTTACAAAATATTATTGTGTAATATTTTTAAGTTTTTAAAAGAATCTTTTGGTATATTACAAAAAAAATTTAACACAAATAGCTTGAATACATAATATACCTATTGCATAATTAGTTTGCTTAACTTGCCGTATATAACAATTTAAAAAGCGGAGCGAGGCGCTATCTAAGTTCGTTTAGCCATATTGTGATTAAAATTTATGGAATTGTTAAACATTATTAAAATAAATCTAATAATATGAATTAATTTTTAAGTATTTTTGATAATAATAAAAAGAAGCGAAACTAAAAGTCCTCCTAATAACTTGTACAATAATTGGAATCGCAATTAAGGAAAATGAAATAAAAAATTTATAAATAAAATATTCGCTGAACCAGGAACTAATTTCTCGTATAATGCCTTTCCATTTTCTTCTTTTTATACTGTAATTTTAAGGGGTGTAATCAAATTTTTTGAGTGTTAAATTCCTGAAAGTTTAAAATACATTTTGAATTCTGACAAATTGATAAAAATGTGATAATAAAAAAAGATGTTCCTCATAAAATCTTTATATTTCCAAAATACAATTATCTTTAAATCGATTGTCGATCACGAATAATTGAATTTATAAATTTTTTTCTATATACTTTTAATATGCAATCTTTTATACAATATCTCACAAGCAATATAATTTATGTTTAACATAATTGTAAACCAATTTTTTTTTTTTAATTAATTACAATCAATTATTATTTCACTGTATTACTTATTATAATAAATTTACATAATTAATATATTTAATTTATTTATACAGCTACAAATTTAATTTTTTTGGGTGAGTCCAACATTTTATGGTATAAAATTTATAGGAGAGAAAATAAACACGCACAATACATATAATTTTGCTATATAATTATTAACATGTTCTACTTATACAAAATACTTAAATAAATTTTATAACATTAAATATTTTAAGTGGTACTTAAACTGCATTTCTGAAAATAATATTACATATTAATATATACAAACGTACATATACATAGATTTGGAGATCATCATTAAATATGAGGAAATGTAAAATTTAAAAATCTGTATTTTTTTTTTTTCTTAATTTAATAAAATATCTGTAAGTTTTATATATAAAAAGTTATTCCAAATATACGCCACAATAAAAAAAAATAAAAAATTTTAACCTTTTGTCCTTGTATACCTTTAATCTGAAATCTTGCACCAAAAATACTGGTACATGTCTCATGTCAATGTTTAATTAATATTTTACATGCAAAAAAAAAAAAATAAAATGAACAAAAATATAAGCAAAAGTAAAACTCTTGTTAATATAAACAGGATTGATTTTTTTCTCTTCTATACCATTATATGCACCCTGTTCGCTGACGTAACTACCGGCTAAAAAAACATAATTGCACATTGCTACAGAGCATATTTTCCATAATATTATAATGCCATAAAAATATACTCAATAATTTCATACTCTTTCTACTGTCGTGATAACAAAGAATTTAAGAAAAAACTCATTTTATTTAATAAAAACTTTGAAATTTAGAGTTTTCAAACAATTTTTCACATTCCACTTGTAATAATCTAAATTTTTTTCAAATATTCAATTTTTTATTCGTATGTTATATTAAAATTCTAACCTTTAATGTTAATTCAATTACAAGATTTACTTAGACTTTTAATATAGTAAACAAAAAGGGCTTTATTGTAAACAGTTGATCTTATAATAACTTCTTTATTACATAATATTCTCTGCAACCAACAAAGTAAATTATGAAATCATATATTCATGTGTATATATTGTATATAGTAGATTTTAATTGAATAAAATAAAAATTTCGTAAAGTAAGTAAGTAAGTCAGTTATTTTTTGATATTTTAACGTTTATCAAAAATTTGCTTCAAGTAAGACAATTAAATATTTAGATAATCAAATATCAGATGAATAATTATCTTGTCATTTATTGTGTACTAGTATATAGTATAGATTTACTATAGTTATTTTAATTTGAAACCTGAATTCTAAAATATTATTATATTAATACAAGATAACGGTAAAATATAAATATGTATAGCAATGGCCCTAATCTAAGTATGTATGAAAATAGTTCTTATACATGTTCCCATATGGAAGAAATCTAAAATTATAATATTGTGAATATTGTCAAAGATTTTAATCTATTACCAACTGTTTTGTTTGTAATAAATGAACTGGGCATATAAAGTATATACATAGATATTAAATTGTATACACTTGCTATTTATTTATTATTTTTAATTTTTTAATCTCTAGTCTCAAGGGACCCAGTTTTCTTTTAAACTTAAAAAGGTAAAATTTTATCGATTAGAAACAAAAAAATATTTAGAGCGCCATAACCATATATTTATTGTCAGGGGAAATTTTTTTTAAATTTTTTTTTTTCAATAAATTTTTATATACACAGATTAACAAGATAACAATGAAATATTTTAATCCTACACAAATTTTTAATAGATCATAAATATATTATTACAAAATTTAAAAATAAAGACATACTATAATTTAAATTTATATTGTACGTACGTAATAAAAAGATCAAATGAAATAAAACCCTTTGAATACAGGATTCCCGTTCAATAGTTCATTGCGTATTCATCACTTTATACTTTAATAATATCTCTAATTAGAATTTTAACAATTATAGTAATTTTGATTAAGAATAATTTTTTATTAGTGTACATAATAAGTAGTTTGAATCCAGTGATAACACTACACGTACACAAATATTATACAAACATGTATGGAATGTTCTGACTTTGCATGAAAGTATTGTAAATATTATTTCAAACGATATTAGCGAATCTATCGCAGAAAAATCGAATTTTAATATTTTGCGTAATTAAAAATATCAGGAATTATACTTTGTACAATTTAGCAAATTTTGTCAACAAAAGTCAACAATAAGTTTTTGCGACATGCTGGTAACAGATTTGAATATGAAAAATTCAAATATAATATAGCATGTCCATCTTCCATATCAATTTGATTTAGGCAGTTTTGCTTTCCTGCCACAGATTTTAGTTTAATTGGTAATTGAATGTCAAAATTTTATCTACAACAATGAGGTTTTTGTTTTTTAAGAATAATATGTGCAAATATATATTACGCCAAGAATTTTTGGTACAAATGTATATGAGCTCATAATCTGCATAATACTTATGATATATTTTTACTTTTAAAAATTCAAAACAAATTTTTGCTTTACTACATTTTACGTTATTACGTCATATATTATAGCTCAAGTTTTATTTATTATACAATATAATTAAATTCTTTTTAATAAAGCAGGAATTCTATATTTTGCCAAATATAAGTTCAAATATTATTATAAAAGGCAATTTATTATAGATTATTAAGACTTTTTGTATGACAACATACAAACAATTATGAAAGTATGAAAGTACATTTTAATTAATATTCACACTTAAAATATTGCCAAATAATTCGAATCAATTAAATGACTATTTTGCTATATTTTAGCCTTATAAAAATTTAATTTTAATGAATACTGCAAAATATATATATATATATAATATATATATATAATTTAAATAATAAATTGTAAATTTAATTTTTTAAAATAATAGAATTTTTGAAATTATTACAGTTACAATGATTAAATTTTTGCAGGATGTCAAAGAGTTTTTGTTTCTAAAACCTTTAATCAAAAGTAATTATTAAAATAATTAATTAAAACTTATTTAGTAGAAAGAAATAAAACACATTTTATAATTTCTTCTTTTTTCATCAAACATTTATTTTTTCTTCTTTTCCAAATGTTGTTCATCGCTTTTTTTTTTTAATATCTTAAAATGTTCACAAACAATTAAACATTTCATTATTTAAAATGATATTTATTTCCGACAGATGGTGTATATAGTATATATGGTATAGAATAGTTTCATATTGTTTTGTTTTTGTTTTTATTAAAATGATTGTAATGTATGTGATTTCTGTTAATTATTTATGATAGTTTTGAAAATTAATAATAATGAAAATTGAAAATTAATTGTAGAATTGAAAAATTAAAGATATTTGAAATTAAGAGAAAATTGAGGTAATGTTTATTCATATATTGAATTGGCAGTGTTGACATTTTGAAGGAAAAATTATATAGTTGAAGAATATTTTATACTTATAAATTTATATGAAATTTGTGTGAAAAATTTTTTAATACTATTCAAAATAAAATATGCTACTCAAATAAAATAAAAATTAAGTCTTAAATAAAAAAAAATTTAAATGAATTTAAAATTATTTACAAAAATAAAAAGTTCAGAAAATTTTACCCAAAAAAAATTTTCTTTCTTATGTTCTTCCATAGTTTTTGTTCTTTTAAATATATATATATCAAATCAAAAAAAAAAAACTATCTACAATTTTACAAATAAAAAAAAATTAAAATACAATTTATACAAAACATTGTTTTTTTTTTGTTTTTTGTTATTTTACATTTTTATATTAGATATGAGAAATCACTTAATTACAGTATGGGAAATTTGGGCAAGTGTGTGGTGATACACCAGCTGGATATAAACGTTCAGTAAATCCTGGTAATGGTGGTGCAGCAGCATGATGATGACCAGCATTAACATCACAGAATGGATAATTTGGGCATGTATGTGGGCTTATACCAGCTGGATATTTTTCAGCGGCAGCAGCTGGTAAATGATTTGTTGCTGGTCCATGTAAAGCTGGTGCATTCCAATGACCATGATCTGAACCATCATCCCAATGTGAACCATCATCCCAATGTGATCCATCATCCCAATGATTATGATGTGGTGCAGCAGGTTGATGCCAATGTGGTTGTGGTTGTGCTGCCCAATGTGGTTGTGGATTATGCAATAATGCATTATCACAAATTGGAAAACCAGGACATAATGATGGATTAACACCAGCTGGATATTTAGCTGGTTGTTGATGTTGTGGTGCAGCAGTAGCTAATGCTAATAATGATGCAATTGCCTTTGAAAATTGAAAAAGGAAAATAAAAAATAAATAGAAATTAAAATTTATTTTTTACTTTTTATATTAATGTTATTATTAAAATAATTTCGTTGTTTCCATATTTACAATATGCAGTTTTCATTTTTATTTTAAAAAAATTAATTATTTCAATATTTTTAGTAAAAAATTTAGAATTTTTAAAAAAATTATAATTACTGAACGCAATATTTTAGTCTAATATTAGACTAAATAATAATTTAGTCAACTATTATTGTTGTTAAATCTAATTGAAATAATTGACAGTTTACAATTAAAAATATGTAAAATTTGACAACATTTTTTAATATTAAATTTTTTAATTTTGAATTATAACACCTAATATTATTAAAGAAAAAAAAAAAAACTAATTAAATTGATTGTTAATTCAAAAATTGAATTTTCATAATTCAATTTCAAATAATTTCCTTGCATATTTTTGATTTTTAAAAATTATGTTTTAAATTATACTCGTAATTATTCCGTATTCAATTAAAAATCACTTTTAAATTTTGTAAAATTTTGTTAAAATACAAAAAAAATTTACGATATCTTTTCTATATAATTAATTATCAATTATTTAAAACCGTATTGAAATAAATTAAAATTACAAGTTTTAACAAATTCAAGTACAAACCCCTAAAATATCGACTTAATTGAACAAACTCTAAAATAATCAAATTTTAATTACAAAATTATATAAATTCCACATAAATTTTAATAAATTTTCATTATTTAAGATTAAATTTATGTTTCACTAGATATTCCAATTCTTAATTGAAAATTATTAGTGAAATTCTCAAATATTTATTTAATTTTATTTTTAAATGTTTGTTATTTATATGAATTACTGGAATTCGGTATAAAAATTCAAGAAAAACCAAAAAAAAATAATTTATATTTAATATTAAAAACTGCGTTAATTCCATTTTTCTTAAAAATTATAATTTGAAAATTTTTATTTGTATATCAATAATCCATTTGATTTTTAATTAATTTCCAATTCGTGTAATGTTCACTTAATATTTTTAACAATTTCCATTAAATTTATTAAATATATAAAATCACAATTTTGAATAAACCTTTTGAATTTTTTAAATTAATTATTTTAAATTCTTCTTTTTTTCTCGAACTTTATATTTCAACAATTAAATTAATTAACTTATTATCCTTTATAGAAGTCTTAAAATAAATAATATCCTTCGTAACCGATTTTAATAAATATGAAAATATTTTCGTGTTATAGAGCCAGAAAAATCAAATAATTTAAAGTCAAAAATTTTTTTATTGGAAAATAATTTCGTTTTTTTTCGGTTTGGAAATCCTTTTTCAATATACACTTACCAATTTTACGAACATTTTGAATTTTAATTTGTTTTTTTTTTTTTTAATTAATTAAAATTATAAATTAATGAAAAATATAAATTTAATATATAAAAATATTGGACTAAAGCTCTTAATTTAAAATTTAATTTAAAGAACCGAGAACTTAACTTCCAATATATATTTTTTATATTATATTAAAATTAAAACTTAATAAAAATAATTTGTTATAATTATTTTATTGCAAAGTTTAAATTAAAACTGCTGCGAATTCTGTAAAAACTTTTTGCTTTTATATATACCCGGAATGAATAATAAATTTAATGACAGGGTAAAAAAAAAAAAGAAAATGAAAAAAATAAGAAAATAAATATCAAATGCATTTTAAATCAAATATATAAGAAGAAAGAAAATAACAAAATCACCAAAAACTCTCTATAGTCAACATTAACATGTATGTATGTATGTACAATGATTATAAAAAATGTATCAAACATGAGTATATATGTATTTAAAATGTTATAAATTTTATATCAAAATTAACTATCTCTATAAAATGCTTTATATATCTCTTATATTAAATATGTATACACTTATATATCTATATTCGGCCGTTAACAGTTATCATGCACGTATTTTTCCCCAGTTAAGATCACTTTTCTTTTTTATTTTTCATTGTTTTGTTTTAGTTTTTTCTTTTTATTTTTTCTGAGCATATAGAGGCAAATATATAATATTTATATAAGATATACATGATCAATAAAAAGTTCACCAATACTTTTGTATGTATTTTGATTGATTTTTGTTCTTTGTAATAACAAAAACAGAAAAAAAAAACAAAACAAAAATAACTTTATAATATCAGAGTTAAATTTGTTTTTTTTTTTGTTTTAATTTCTTGTTAGCGGGTATTGTAAGGAAAAAAATTGTATATATGAGAAAAAAAATATTTTATTTTTTCTTATTTTCTCCATTAAAACAGGTACAAAATATTTAATTGCGCATATATACAAATATTTTAAATTATATACACTCTGTAAACTATGTAGAAAAGTAGGAGAACCGAGAAATTGTCAACAATTACCTACATACATATATACACCAGGGATGTAATAAACTAGTTTTATAGCCTCCAAACGTACATATATTGTTGAAGCAGCCAATTTTTTGCTAAAGTACAAGGCTCTCAACAGAACTTTTAATTATATTTTTCTTACAATTGCACTTACAGTTAATAACTCCCACTAAATATTGATAATAGCTTATAATAGCTTCGTATAATGTTGATTTTACTGCAAATTTTTTAAATAACTCACATATTTATTTTTTTTTTTTTTAATATAGGTGTTAAAAATCAACGAAAGACAAAGATAGGTGGACAGAGACTTATCTATAGCGGGGCATTTTAATCGAACCCAAAACGCACTTGGATGGTATAATAAACTCCTTAAACTTGTCAAACTGGTTAACCATTAATTTACTCTAAAGTGTTTTTGTGCCTGAATTCCGTGAAGGAAGGCACGAAAGTGCTGCTATACCAGTCTTTTTGCCTACCCCTCCCCCATATAAGTCGAAAGGCCTCGACACTTACATCCCTTATAAAAATTCCTATAAAAATTTTTTATATATATTACCTTACTTGGGTTTAACAGATAAGGCAAAATATTTTGTTAACATTTTCGTAAGTTCAAACCAAACCCTTTAAAATAACCTAAATAATTAATTTAAAAAAAATTATTACAAGTTTTTTGCAAAATCAAACTTATTTTAAAAGAAATTACTGAATACATCGGTAGTAATGCTGAACAAGCTTTAAAATAAATAGTTATTGTTGCAGTCTTACAAATGTAGTGTTTTCGATTCGGATGTTTTTTCAGAAATTGAAACTGGAAAAGAAAATATACATTTGCTCATATGTGTCCATGACGCTTTAAGGATTAATTTACAAATAAGGCGACCAGTTAACCATTGTAACTTCAAATTTATATATGTACGTAAAAGCCTCATACTACATATATAAGGGGACATTCCATAACATAATACAAGCCTGATTATTATACTTTATTGTCGTTATAAATAATTATGATTGTTTTTATTATTTATTGTTTTAATCTTATTCATATATGTACCAACTTTTTTACTCTTTAAATTCTTATGTGTACACACATAAACATATACATTTATGTACTTACACCTATGTATATATATAAAAGTTGTTACAGTTATTCGATGGTCGGCGGCTATAAAATAACAGAAAAAAAAATGCTAAAAACAAAAAAAAAAAATTTATAAACTTACAAAAGCTCAACTCAATCATGTTTACCGTTGTGACTAGTATAATGCAATGTCAACTCTAAAACCACCAACATCAATTTTTTGCTTGTTTATTATTTTTTCTTTCTTTTTTTTGTTGTTTTTCTTTTTTTTTGCGAATAATATTTTACCCAATTTGGTTTGATTAGTAAATTTTTTTTTTTTTACAAAAATAACCAACCACCGGACAACAATAATAGTAAAAATTGAGAGCAAATTCTCTATGTACAATAGTTTTGCTACCTATACAAAAATTCATTCAAAGTATATAAAGAAATAAAGATATAAAGAGTATTAAAATATTGTAATTGTATATTGATGTATAAACAAAAGAGTAATTTGAACAAAAACAATAAATAAGAAAAACAAAAAGGATAAGAGTAATGATGTAGATAATAATAGAGTATAAAGTAAGTATAAAATTTTTATAAAAATAAAAATATTTGTAATTCTTGTGTAATATTTTTCTAATGTATATCAGTAAAGAAGTGTTAAAGAAATACAAGCGACAGTATGTAATAATGTAACAAATACAATAACAATCATAAATATGTAGGTAAATTTTAAAATTGAAAGTGAAAAAATGTGTTTATGTTTGTATCTAATAACGTTAAAGCTAAATAAAAATTATAATATGGAATTTAGATTTGAAAAAAGTAAGCACTTATGATAATTAGATATTAGGTCAATATTATATACATTTTATATATGGACTTTATTATGTTAAATGTAAAGATAATTTAGTTCAAATTAAGTACAGACATATTAGATCAGTATTTAATTTATCTCATTACATATATTATTATTATCAAATTAAAATGAGTATATGTAAATCATATATCAATAATTTCCAATTACAGAACTTGATAATACAGTCATTAAGTATATTAGTGACTAATTATATAACTTCATTTAATAGAATCCAAAAGTAAATGAATTTTCTTTTCTTAAGCATATTTTTTTAGCCCTAATAATTCAGCTATTAAAACTGACTTATATGCTTGTATTAATGAAAAGCACCATAATATTATATTCTTCGGGTTATTAATTTTTGTAATGGCAAAGGAAACTCTGCTGTTAAATTGAAAATTTGTATAACAGAAGAAAGACACCATTTTGAAAAATTGTTGTACATTTTCCTAAATCATTGGAGCAAAAAAAATCGTTATAAAATAATACTTGCAATAACTTGCTATTCCTGTTAAAAACTTCGAAACCACGTCAGGTAGCTTTGTAACTCATATATCAACTTGAAGCTTTGTTGACAAGGTTGCTAATTGTGCTAAAATTGAAATAAACTCCAATGTTAAGTTACCTAGAAAATTAACGTTTTTCAAAAGGGAAAAGCTAAAATTTCAAATTTTTCAAGATCTTTAAAGTCATTTGATTCCGAAATCTGGACAGATTATAACTAAACAATATAATAATAAGAAAACCCTTATTCTGATGTTTCCAAATCATGCATTTAACAATGCGCTTATCTCACACAGACACGGATTTAAACTCAAAATTTTAAAAAATAAAAAAATCAATCATGATTGACTTTTACCCCTGTAACTCGAAACCAAAATGTAGCACTCCATTTATATACGGGACACCCTGTATATGTAATTGCCAAATCATGTAATTATATATAATATTGTCAAAATGGATTATTTAAGTTATTTTAATGAAAACCCTTTCTTATCTGGTAATACTTATCTATATAACCATATTACGTTTACTGTAGTTAAAATACTATTAATAGTTAATTTTAACGAGCATTTATTGTATTTTTCATAATAAATAATAAAAAGTAATAAAATTATTTTTAATCATATATAACTCGTGATATTAAACTCTTGATCTAATAATATAATATTAGGGATCGGCTCGGTAACATATATTGATTAAAATCACATACATATATACATAATATATCAATATGTATTAATGTATATAAAAAGGAAATAAAATAAGTTGTTTTAATATAAATTCGTAAAATTATCATATCAAACAATTTATAACAAATATTATAAATAAAAGTACATGAGCATTTATACATGTATGAGAACCTTTTATTATAGCTTTCTATAATCTTAAAGCTTGTAAATTTTTCAAAATTTATAAAGCATTCCGGGTCTTAAACTAATTTATAATCTTTCATATTTTGTTTTTGTTCTAATTTTAGGTAAACATATTTAAAAAACATGATTTGCAATAATTAAATAAAAAAGAAAAGAAAAAATAAATAAAGTTTCTCCCCTAAGTCTTTTGTTTTACAATGTTTTTTTATTTCATTTCTATTAACCTATACGTTGTTTTATTGAAATTAAAAAGCACGTGCTTTTTATTATTTATTTTTTTTTCCTTTCCTTGTAATTATTTTTATAAAATCATGTTTTTTTTTTCATTATTAATTTAACTAAGTTACAATTATTTACACATTGATTGAACTTGTACCAATTTATGAAAATAAAGTGAAAGCAAAAATGTTATTATATCATATTTTTTTTTTTTTGTTTTTCCTTTTTATTAAGATTATTATAAATTTATTTTATGTAAATGAGTATGCAAAGTATAATTGAAAGAAAAATGAATAAAAAAAATTTGTTTGATTTAATATAATCAAAATGTTATATGGTACGTGCATATATGGGTTTAATTATATAGAGAGAGGATTATATAGATTTTTCTATATTATATAGAATAAAAAATATGTTGCGAATTGCAATATCAAAACATGAAATTCAAAGAAATTTATTTTTTGTTAGAACTATTGCTCTTATAGCATTTATAACATAATATTATATAAATATTCAATTTTGTTATTTTAAATTTAGATTTTAATCTTAAAGAATATTAAAATTAAATGTTCGAGTAGTCTAAGGAAGAATTTTATATTATTTAAATGTCATATAGGTATTTATACAAATTTCAGAAGTCGCAATACATGTTTCAATATATATTACAATTTTATT